TTTTCAAGTGCAATGCCTCGATTTCAGGCAGACCCCTTGGTCCCACTCTTATCCTCTTCTGCTATCTGCGTTCAGGTGCGCGTACGCAGATAAGCATGCATGCGTTACTCTTTAAAAATGTCTAGGATTTTCCAAAAGTCGACACTGTTACAAAATTGCTGTAAATTTACAACGAAAATGTGATTAATTTTGTTAGCAGCACATACTGTATTTTACAGGCATTACACTGTAAAAAAGCAGCGTTAGCGAAAATCTCGGAAACAAAGTTTCCGACCGAAAGCAGTTACTTTAGTTTTGCTCTTGTAAAGAAAAAATTGTAACAATACGAGTGTCCTGTTATGGCACGAAATGTGTAGCTATCAAAATTAACTTCTCTTTTCTTGTAAATGTACAGCAAAGTAATACGCAGTAGTTTTTGTTTTGGGCCAATATGGGCCGAATATCACAGGTTTCGAGAGGGTTCAAATGAAAACAACATTTCTGTTATATAACAGGAGTGTCAATCCCGCAGTATGCAGTATGTCATCAGGTGACAGTTATTTTTAAAAGTGTATTTTAAATGTCTATTTATCCATGTAGACATGTGAGCACCACATTACGTCTCTTACGGAGGTCTGAATATTCGTGAAAAATCGGGGGGGGGGGTAACAATGCAGGGTTGACTCAGATAGCCTCCTTATGCAACTGGTTCAAAGCATCCCGGTGATCATGCATCATTTGAGCTCGCATTGAAGAACAGGTTCGGACAGTTAACTAGACGTGGGGTAGGTGACTACTGTCACAGGACGACGAAGACCAGTATGCCTAAAACTAAAGCTTTTGTCCCGCATAAGAAGGACCTTCCCCCACCTGTTACATTTACAAGGTCGCGGTCGAAAAAAATTAAAATTAGCATGAACATTTAGATTAAAAATATTACTTCCTTCCATCTCCACCCAGAAAACCGATGAGTCCAGGCAACCAAAATCAGACCGACGAAATTTGAGCTCAGTGGGTTTAATTTTATTCGTGCGAATTCAAAAATGTTGTGGAATTACCTTAGTTTGATAGACTTGACCAAATTTGGTAAAACTTAAAGGTACTAAATCGTAGTTGGTTTCAGGAACTAAATTTTGCTTCCTGAGACCCTGATTTGGCCGAATCAACTAAACGGGTTCTCTGGGTGTTGCTTGGATGTAGTTGACAAACAAAGTGTGAGCCGATCGGTTACGCGTTTGGAGCCACTAGGCGTTAGGCGTGGCGGCAGGCAACTCACACCACGCTCGTATGCGGGCGGGCATGCCAATTTAGGCTGAGAGCGCGGGCAGCCTGTATTATTCACGGTCACCCACAGTTTGCTTGTGCTCACCCTCACTCTAAATGGCAAGGGACAATTTTTGTCCGTTGCAAAATGCGCATGTGTGTACACTGCACATCTATGACAAGATGAATCCTGCTCCTTAAATAGTAAAATTTGTCCGGAGCAGGAGATGCAAATTTATGGCCACTCAAGATTCAAAATTGCATCATGATGGTGTGAACAAAGGTGGATCATGCAATGGATTAAATTTGTCTCTTTCAATTTAGAGTGAAGCGATATTTGGCTCAAACATTTCTTAATTACTAATATTACTAATGTTAAATGGCATATAGGTGTTGCAACATGTCATTTTTTCTCTGGTCTGTGTAGTTCACGTATAATTAATATTACAGCTCTAATGTGTATTTAATGAAATACACCGCCAAACAAACTGCAAAGCGCAACAAACCATACGGTGGGTCAAGCGCATAGCATTGTATAACCAGAAGTCATGCGGTCAAAAGGCAAAGCTATTTGGCTCCTAAAACGAAGGTACAGCCTCCTGCGGCTCCGAACGATGAGCGCCAGCAGTAGGCCCTTGAAAGACCGATCAGCGCACAAATGGAACAGCGTGCATGGTGTGCTGGTATGGCAAGCGCTACGAGCGCCCCACGCCCACGCCAGACCACGCCACGAGGCGGAGGGACAGCTGGTCTTAAAAGTAAACACAAACCACGCGGAAGGACTACAAGACAGAGGGCGTGAGATCGCGAAACGGACTCTGCAAGTAGGAAATTGGTATGGGGAGGTGTAGGCGTGGCTATGAAAGAAGTGTAAGGCAACAAGAAGCCGGTGAG